ACAGCATACAAAGTCCCCGAGCGCAGTTCAAAATGTGATATAAAAGGCTTGACTTTTCTGCTGCGCCATGATGTGGGTCTTGAGATTATGTATCCAATTAAAGCAGTACCAGTCTTCACAAAACCCATAAACCATAAGCTATAATTATACAAAATGTAACTTATTTTGTTATTGATTTGCATTTTTAATTGTTGAGCAACTATGAATGTTTATTTTTTATTTTTTACCTGGTGTTTTGATAGTCCATGGGCAACTATTTTATTCTACGAACCAAGTCATCATCTCGTTAAATAATTTCAGTTGATAATTCGAGAGGTAAAGTGTGACAAAGTTTAATTATTTCATGACATGTGTACACATGAACTCACCCTCTCATCATACTAGTAAATTATTCAAAATTATATAGCTGTCAATATTATTGGCTGCAAATATACAAGTATTATCCAAACATCATCCATCTGTCTAACAACAAGATACACATTTCCAGCCTTGCAGCTTGACAACAGAAAGCTAAGTAAACAAAGTAATTAAACTGTTTGGAAGGAATACATTTATTGACATAGAGATATACACATGTTCCGCATTTGAGAGCAAGTTGCAGTTTTCATTCAATAGAACCTTAAATAACTCCCACAATTCTATATCGCCAATATTATCAATTGTTGCAAAAGCTGCGACGGCCAATGTAGTTTTCGTTGCAAAACAAAAATATGCATTTGCATAATATTTACCAAGGTACCCAGATATGTAAATTTAAAAATAGGTGTTCATATCTCACTTTCAATGCATAGAGATAGTCGTATAAATGCATTTAGAATGCCCGTGATGCGCCAGCTGGCAGGCAGCATTAATGCCACAAAGCTGCCAAAAAGGGTAAAAAACCACACACACACACACACACACACAATATTGTGCAATATTTACACAGATAAACAACAACAAATGGTAGGTGGCTATACAAATAGTAGCCACAGTTGCGGCCAATCAAAATAACAAAATGTAAAAGCATTGCGGCAACCATATATCGTTTTATTCTGTTTTGTTTCCTCTTCTAGGCAGACTAGGATATTATAGCCCAGCAGCACGAGCAACAACAAACAACAACAAACATGGAAACAGTCCACCATCATAGCAATTGTGGCACATATGTGCGCCATTGCTCAAAACCATTTTCGAGTTTTCATTTTGTGGTCACTTTTGGCGGAGCTCGAAACAGTGTCCTGCACAAGCGAAGAGATTCGCACTGGAAATGTGAAATTACAATTATATTTGTATAAATGCAAAACATATACAAATAACTAAAAATTACAATAAACGCCTCACAGAGAACATCGATTCATTTCAGAAAATTTCAACCACAAAAGGCCGCAGGTGGCTAGATTGACGAAACCAGGCAGCCATAAATAATTACAAACATGAAAACCATGTTCAAAAATGTTGTTTCTTTTTCAATGGAAAGTTCAAAACAAAAATTAGGTTAAATTCAAAATTCCATTAAGTGTAAATTTTCAATAGAAAATATGTGGACAGAACTCTTTCATGGGTTTTAGGAGGCAGCACTGTTCTCTAAATAAATAATAAATAAGATAATTGTGTAAAATTTTGGGTAAAACAAACATGAGTGAACAACTTTGATTCCGCAAGTTTCCAAAATATATTTATGGTTTTTGCAAGCGTCTTTTGTATGGGAAATTATATAGAAATCGTTTTGCTTATAGGTGCCAGCATTCCATTGCATTTTCTTCCCTCTAGGTTTGTGCTTTGTGAACATCTAAGGTTGCTTTTATTTTCACTTCAAGTAAATATTGAATAGACTGGTACTTCTGAAGACGAAATTTTAAGATTGTTGCAGAAGACGATCGGCTTTGTCAAAACCGCATATTTATGAAGGGCATATAATTTTAAAAAGCGAAGAGAAAGCTTTGAATAAAAGAATTGGAATCATTGCTGTTGCTGTTTGCATTTCTAATGGATAAGCCAACATCCGAAGTTTTTTGTTTTGGTTAAAAAACTCTGGCCACTACATTGAAAACACCCGCTTGATTTTAGGGCCTTATTTCCGAGTAATTTTTGTACACAGTACTAGTATGATAATGAGAATTCTCTACCCTCAAAGGCGCAAAAATGTCATATTTATTACACATAATATTGCTTTTATTACAGTGCGTTGCATGGTTTCTGGTATTCTCTTATTTTTTTAAGTGAAAATTTCACTTTGAAACGCGTTGTTTCGCCTGCTGGCAAATGAATTTGATTTACTACGTAAATAAAAATAAAAAATAAATTAATATTGCAGTCCACCATCATAGCACTTGGGCGTTGTTTGCCTTCGGCCTGGATTTAGATTTATATGCATTTTAAATAATAAATACCTACTAGGTACAGATTGCGCTTTGTTTATCAACATTTTGAGCGCCACGCATGCATGATTTATGCCCATAAACTGGCGGTCAACTGCCATATTGCTAACTGATGGATTTATTCGCATAGAAAATTGCATTGCCATGAATATATTGTACTTGTAGGTGAATACGATGCCCCACCGATAAAGTTAACCTGTTTATTTAATATACAGACAATAATTGTAATCGTGTTATTTGGCTAAAAAAACTTGCTTTGAAGAGCTCAAGTTAAAAGTAGGAAATAAGCGAATATTTAAATCACATGTATAGCTGAGTCGCTTATTCAATACAAGTATACTTGTATGAGCATGAAATTTGGAAAAATTCGACGCATAAGTGGGTCGTTGCTTCGGTTGAAATGTATTTGGAAAACTAATTTTCATAGATTTTTGTTAATCTCAAGGTACGAGACCAAAAATTTATTAATATGATGCTGTTTTTTTTTTTTGGACTTGCCTAGCTGCGATGCTTAGTTTAAAATTACTTTTCTCGTTTTTGCTGTACCTTCTAATTAAGAGTATAGACATATAATTGTTAAAGTCAATACCAATAGGGGCAGTGTTCTCCTTGAAATATGTTTAAAAATTTCCGAAAAAAGGAGTGATTGAGAATATGAGGCAGAGACAAAAACATTAAAGTTTTACAATATGTTCCCCTACAGAGCACTCAATTATAAGAAACAAATGTTTTGCTCGCTCTCATCCGAAAACTATAATACTTGTATATAATATGTTTTCAACTCTCTTGGGCTTCCACTGTATCTACTTGTCGCGCAATTCATTCACTGATATGCCGCAAAGTACGCAATTAACAGTGTTGTCCGATAATTTGATTATTACATTCCCCAGACTGGGGGCCAACCTGCAATTGTGGAATTGTGGAATTGTGCATTGTCAGTTGAAGCGGACTGCGAAAGGACAGCCAGCCCGGTTGTCCCGAGCATTGATGCACATGCAGGCAGGCAGTCATCAGAATTGCAGGCATGCACGGATAAAGGGAAGCTGCAGCTCTCGGCCAAGGTAAGTGAAAAAGCAGAGCAGGGCGAAAGAAAATAAAAGAGGTGTGCAAAGGAATGGGAAAAGGGAAGGCAAAAAAGGACAGCAAACTTTTCTTTTAACACAATGGGCTATGCAGGCTGCTTAAGCATATAGTTTACAGTTATGCTTGGGCTCCTTCCTCGACACTTGCCCACTCACCCACTCACCCACTTACCCGTACTTGCCATTTTATCTCTTGGACTCGTGTATACATATAGTATGTGAATCTGTATATAGCCACCCACTAACTACAGTATAAATCCACTTACAAAACTAATTACGTTGGCAAAGTTTTGCGTTTGTTCGCGTTCAAATGTAAAAGGCAGCTCAGATCTGCAGATCTGCATACAATATAGTGCACGGTGGCAGCGGTAGTTGAAGTTACTAACAAAGACGGCCTGGACAGCAAACAGTACATGCAAACAGTATATGCCCAAAGGCATGTGAAAGCGGCAAATGGAAGAGCAATGCACACAAAAGCTCCTGGACATGGGCTGTGTTGCAATTACATATTTATTACTGGTCTCTCATCTTTGCTCTTATCTTTGTGTTGCATTAACATTTAATTAAAATTTCATATCAAATAAGCGCCCACATCATTTGAAAGCGGACAGGTGCATTCGCATACATGTAGATATGTATGTATATACTCGTATGTATGCTGCCATGAATACAAGTTGTTTGCATTCCCATATTCTTATAATCTTATGCTTATGAGAATACTCGTAAGGAGTACACGTTTGTTAACTTGTGTGAGAATGTCGTCAATGACGATGCTGGCCATCAAATGCAGGGACATCAAATGAACGGAATGCATTCGAAATTTGCAAACGGCTTGATTTGAACATTATGCAGGTAATCTAACAGAAATAAAAAATGTAAAATATTCAAAACAGAAAAAAATGTGGATGCAAATACTCAAGGCCATTGAATATGAGAATAATTGTGCGATTGCTCTAGAGACGAACATTGCTTTGAATACTCGTGGCTGCTTTGAATAAATGGCTTTAGTTTAAAACAACTTTGTCTGAGCTTTAATTTGAGAAATTTTTGTCTGAACAGACACAATTTTCGATCCCCTTATATGAATGGAACAATGTTGTATCCAACATTTTGCACAACTAAATAGTTTTCTCATCATCAATTCAATAGGTTCACAATATATGTACATACACTGATTTGATATAAGGAGATAATAAATTACAAGAGTGCAGAAGTGTTGGCAGTTTTCCCGTTATAGACTGTCATTCTTGATTTATTTGATTGATTTATATATATTTAATATAATTAATATTTCACAAATCATAGAAATGCTGTTGGATATTGATAGCGAAATGACAAAACTAAACAAAGAGTGTGAAAGGTTGCACGCTTTTCAATAGCAATAAAAAAATAAAATTAAAAAAAAAAACACTCAGTAATAGTCACCAGTTATACTAGAGGTACTCTTTCTATTTACGTTAGAGTCTTCTGCAGTAATTTCTGGTAGAGTTGTCTTTGTTTTTCTCATTCAGAAATCAAGTTCTTTAAACATACAATGTTTAATGTTTAATCAAAAGCCTTTGTGACTTGAACGATTTTCTATTTATTGGACAAACGAATACAATGAACAACAATCACATAACCAAAACATTTTAAGGAGCTCTTCATAAAATATATACGAATATACCTGTACTCTGAGAAACACAACAAGCTCTGGAATGAACGCCCCAATCTGTGTACTACCAATAGAGTAGCAGCAAATAGAATGGCCCCAAACTGAAGAGCAGAACAACCAGCAAAATGCATAAAAACATGGTCCAGCTCTATAAATAAACCAAAACGAATGCTTTCATATCTTATTAATATCGATTAGCATCGACTTACGCTCGGCTTATCAGAGCCGCTCAAGCTGCGTCGGCACAGTGGACAGAACTTGGCCACCCAGTTACGTTCCTCGCGATAGATGTCCAAACAAGTTCTGCAAAAGGAATGCTTGCAGGGCAAGTGGACAGGATCCTGTTTGCGATCCAAGCAGAAGGCGCACAGCTCGACATCCAGATTATAAATGGAACGACGTCGCAAACTGCTGCTCGATGAGCTGCTGGCGCAGCAGCTACTAATTTGATTATCCATGCGGCTTTTTATTTTCAGTTGTTTTTGTGTGTGTGTGTGTGGCGGTTTGATCTATTTTGTACAAAAAATTTTGATTCGGTTCTAGCTAAAATCTAAACTAAAATAAAACTGACAACTAATGAAAGGGTCGAGCGCTTGTACACATTTTGCAGTTTATGTATTTCTATACCATGTTAGTAAAAGTAATACCCAAAATAGCCCCACTATTAATTTATAGATGCATTCGAAAGAAACCCATTCTTTGAAGCCAGATTTAATCATTTTTGAATAGCATCTTCAGCTTTTGAACATTCTCCTTCAATGCTTATGGGCCTTTAATAGTAGTGTCTGTGGTAATGGAAGCTAAGCAATTAAAATCAATACGAATATTCCCAGACAAGACCATTCTGCTTCCTATTTCTGCTGATGGAGGCGACGTTTGCTTGGAGATTAGTCCTACTGGCTTGGGATTTTCTTTATAATCTAAGTATAGCGCAGCTGTCATGTAAAACTGATGTGCTGGCGACACTCTATTCATGAAGGTTCTTTAAATATATAATGGCATAGAAGAATTATTCTTCATTATCAGAAAAATGTAGCGCTCGAAAAATTCTCTTTGCATATTTTTAGCGTAGCAGAAAGAGTCCATCTAGACAAAATTATCGATCTATACCTCTATCTATAATATAAGAAGGGTTCATTTCAAAGTTCTGCTAATCAGCAACCTTAGCAGAGTACACTATTTGGGGGCTCTGTGAATGTTGGATACAGAAACGCCCCGCACGATTCTAGCATTCGGTTTTCTTTATTTTTGAATCGCAAGCGCATAGCTTGCTCTGATTTAATGATTATTTTTTAATTAAAAACAGCGTGCGATAAATTGCGACTAAGTTGTCGTTGCAGCTGCGCCAAAAAGCAGGCTACGGTCTACATGCAGGTTAAGGCGCCTAACGATGGCGACGTCGTGTTCATTTAGCGCAATAAAATTTAATTATATGAAGCGATGCCGCCATTTCTCAGTCAACCGACCCCTTCCCCCTCCCCCAGCCCCTCCCCTTCCAGCCCAAATACTACCTGTAAGGCGAAAAATTTCTTTTTCGCTCATCGTCATCTTCGTCGCCATCAGCGTCGCAGCTCAACCAGAAGAATCGAATGCAATTAGCAGCTTGTACAACTCAATTAGACGGTGGCAGAGGGCAGGGAACAAGCAAGAAGTAGGACTGGTTCTGGCCAAGTGCCGCTTTTTGGCTGTACTTACCACTTAACATGTGTGTGACTTTGTGTTTCTGTGTGTGGGTGTGGGTGCGGTGTCTTAGGCGTCGCGTCAGGCTTATTTATAAGAGGGTGAGATGAGGTGACGTTGACCTCCACCCTCCCAAGCCTCTCAAGCCCCCCAAGCATGTCTAGCTGCGCTTTTTCCTGCCATCTTTGCTCGTGTCAAGTAGTAGACAAAACAACGCTTTGCACTTTGAGACAAAGACCGCAGAGCAGACGCGAAATAAATCGAACTTTACAGCTGCATACTCGTACTCGTATATTCGGGCGCCGGCAACGACAACGGCAATAACGATCAAGTTTCTGACACCCCGCATCCCCTCCGCTCTACGTAATGTTTTTAATTAAGTTCAAATGGCTACAGCACTAAAAGTCACATCATTTTTGTGCCGCCATCAACTCGTTGTGGCAGAGGGCGGCCGTGGAAAAGTGCAAGCAGATAGGGGAAAAACTTGATGCTGGACGCAGCATGTTGGCCATGTTTTAACTTAGTTAGTGACTAACAACCACACAAATTGAATCACTGTCAGCAACTGCGTTGCCTGCTTTGTAATTTAACGTGTCGGTCAAACATACACACACACACACATTATTGACGCCTCCATTAGCACTCTCACCTCGTCGCCCCCCACCCACATCCCGACTATATACCACCAACTCATCATAGTTGTGCTATATTTACAGTTGCAGCAGCTCCATCAATGGCCATACTCGAATAAAGTCGCTTGCATAATGAGCACGTTGTGCTGCTGCTAAAAAAAAAAACTTGATTAAAAAGTTGCCAATTCAACTCGAATGTCCGACTCGAATGCCCAGCTCGATTTTCAGTGCCATAGTTTTCAGCTCATTCCTAGCATCCTTGCGTCCCCCCTTCCCCCCTCCTGCTTTTCATCCGCAACGTGATGTTGTGCATTCGCATTGAATTCGAGTTGATTGTTTATTGTTTGGCACGAAAAGTGATTTTCCCGACTACAAAAATATTGTGATTGTTGTTGTCGAGCAACTTGTTTTTGTTGTTGTCGTTGCTGCTGCTGCTGCCGTTGCCGTTGCCGTTGCGGCAAAAGTTTATGTTGATTTGAAGTTAAATTAAATTGTAGAGTTTCTTTAATTATGTTTATAAATGGCTGTAAAATTGTTAAACTAGTTTTCGACCAAATGTTGGAGCAACTATTTATACGGCAAGGGATACAGCAGGGATTGAGGGCCAGGTACTTGTGTAATAAACAGCATAAATCAGGAATTATAAAATGTTCAAGTGTAAGTATTAAATGGTTAGATAGCACAAAAGAAGGGAGAACTTTGTTTAATGGAATATTGATTGTTTCTTTTTATTTTGCGATTGCAATAGGGTTTAAAATCAATCAAAGGCTTACAGTTGAAGGATACATTTGCGAGGCTTGAAGTGATTACAAAATTACCTGTAATGACAGGTCTATCACTATTTCAATATTGTTTAAGCATAGTACTCGTAGTGCAGTATACGCGTATTACTTACTGTTTCACTTTCATTTCGAAAAATATGTTAATTAAAATTAAGTGTAAGTTCCATATAGTATTTCTTAAATACGGCAAGTTCAATATTTCTGGTTGCAGAAAATTAATTACTGAACTAATAATTTAATCTGAACTAATCTGAACTTTATAAATACTATACTATACATTTCGCAAAGAAAAAGGCATCTGTTGTCGTCTGCTTCCATGATCATTACTTATGAAATTCGTATAATAGTCGAGTGACTGAAAGGAAGAATTTTAAATACACGAAACTCTGGACTAATCTAATCTGAACTAATCTGAACTTTATAAAAACTATACTAGACATTTCGCAAAGAAAAAGGCATCTGTTGTAGTCTGCTTTCTTGATCGTTACTTATGAAATTCGTATAGTCGAGTGACTGAATAAAGGATATACTGATGTTTAGCTCGACTTGGAATGCTTGAAAATACTGAAGTGTATTTAGAATTTAAGCTTTTCGCTTTTGTATTAGACCCCAATAGCAGCTGTGTTTGTATTTCAAATGCAATCCGACATTCAGCATGAGATTTGCAGCTCCCCAAGCACGCTTTGTTGCATATTCAATGCATTTGATGGCGCGTTGCACTGAAACCAAGCCGTGCCGCATTTCCTGTGGCAGCAACAAGGCAGGCACGCTAGATGGCGCTGCCGTGCCATTTTAAAACACTGAGCTCTGTGCTAATGAGCTTTGTTACCGGACACGCCATCCAAACACGCCGACATCATTTATGCTAAGCTTTTTCTGCGTTTATCCAAACAACAAAAGCAACATCAGCGAAAACTAGATGATGATGAAGAAGAAGAAGAAGTAGTAGTAGTAGTGGAGCATTGTAAGCCCGGCACCGTGGCTTAATGGGTTAACGTGACACTAAATGAATCATCTTTAGAGCCAGTGGTTCGCATTTGTGGGTTAATATTTCATTAGTGCCGGATGCGCCTTCCCACACTTCCGCAGCCAGCGAAACTTTTATGGAGCTTACAATGCTATCGCAGTCCCATAGTTGAGCACCTAATTAAATTGGGGGCGGGCAGGGCACCTGGCATGGGTCGGGCTTCTTCAGAGATGCAATTTGATTCTCTTTCTAAATTTGAACTAAATGCACAACTAATTAGACTTGCATCAAATGGTAAGTCAAATAAATTATGAAAATTTAATTTTAATTGAGAGCTGCAAACGAAAATGAGCAACTTTTTGATGTTGCGTTTAGTTTGCTAATTTTCACAGCTTGCCAAATGAATGAAGTGCCCCCAAATGAAAAGCGTCTGCCATGAATGCAATTCAGCCAAGGCAGCATCATATCCTGTAGTTGTTGCTATTGTTGGTGTTGTGTGGATGATGTTGGCCTTTTGCAAAGCACTTGCCAAACCACTTAGTATGGCATTGAGTGGCTTTTTTTCGGAACATATATGTATAATGGGTGTACACAAGACAGGCCGAGCATGCAGCGCAACCAACAACCAACGGTGACACACACACACACACACACCCACACACACACACATACACGCGTAAGTGAACGCATACACATAAATGAATGGAGACAATTGCACAAAAGACGAGCCTGCCTTTCAAACTGGCTGAGATGAGCACGTGAATAAAATATCAAAATGTATAAGATATGAAATACTTTGCACATGAAATATGTTAACTAAATAAATCCACTTCATATTAAGATAGGGGAGGATATGGCTCACAACCCCTTCAACTAAAACAAACTTTGTTGCATCAGTCATGGCAACTATGGCGAACTCTCAGCAATATCGTGTTAATCAAAAGACTCTTGATAAGAGAAGTATATGTTTCTCAAAATGTGTTGACGGTTACACAGAAGATATCTCTATATCGATTTATCTCGTCATGCTGATTCAGTCTTTCAAATGCATTTCGAAGCATTCTATATGTGTTTGTAACTTGGCGAACATTCTCAAGTTAAATTGGAGATCACTTTCAAGTCAAGATGGGTGTAATGCATTGAAAGTTGTTCAGCATCATACACAGTATCTAAATAGTTAATAGAATTATTTAACTTAGCTATGATGTTAAAAACCAATTCATTTCCTTTATTTAATAACTTCTGTTAGTTTAAGTTTAACATAAGCATAGTTTAACATAAATGTTAAGCTTTAAAAAAATATACTTTTGAATTCGATTAGCAATTAACTATTGTATTGTAGAGGACGCTTTACTTTCTCGAATGTGGCATTTCGAGCCACAATTATTTGATTCAGATAATATTGCGGAATTGCAAAAAAAAAAAAAAAAATCAAATTGCTTGGCACATCCATATAATAATTT